GTTCGATTATCAGTACAGCCTCTTTAGTGTGCTTAAAACCGTTATTCGTGAAAGAATCGTTAAAGGAACCAACCGTTCCCTGTGGAAACTTTTTATACTTTTAATTGCAAATGAAAATATACTAGTTGCCATCGATGTTTCATTTGATTTTTTTATTTTTATTTTTTTCTCCTTTCTTTCTCCTTTTTTTTTCATTTTGCCAAATGATTTTTGAGAGTTTTTTTATATTTTTAATATCCAAGCAATATTTCCCGTTTAGGCGACTCCCACTATTAAAAACAAGGGATCTTTATCCACACGATGCAGATCTGCGTACAGGTTTAATTAAAAATGCATTTTTTCCCCATTGTTTCATAGCCAATTAGCGTCAAGTAACACTCACAACGGTATTACATTGATTTTGCTCTGAATTACCTTATATTTKCAATCTAAAATGCACTGTACCCAGGCAATTCGAATCGAGTATTTTTTATGTAAATTACTATTCATTTTTATAGTCTGTCTTTCCGTTCAATGAAACTAGTTGTACCTTGGGCACCAGAGGTTGGAATCTACCCTTTCTCATACTTTATTTTAAAATAACAACAAATATTCATACGAAAATTTTTTGATTCAAATGATTCTGAAAGCTGATTTGGAAACAATTAGTTCTATCTAACAGAATGGTGTGTTTATTCTTGTAGTTAATCAATTACCATGGATCAKCCTACCATGTTCATTATACTAGCAGTGTCTATTCTCGTTGCAACATGCGTGACCGGAAGACCTAGTAACGATTGCTACAGCTACTGTAGTTCCGAATGGCATAAGTGCATGACGCAGTGTAACGATGAAGAGTGTTACGGATGCAGTGTCGGAGCAAAACAATGTCGGAAGAAATGTTCATCAAGTACCACTCTACGTTTTGTGAGAGATACATCCACAAATGACGAAATAGTCGGAAATTCRTGACTAAAATTGGCAGATCAAGAATTAGACAATCCATTCAAACTATTTGAAATTTATATTTATAACGCAAATTATAACTGACGACGAATATGACTTAAGATGAAATGCTTTTTCAGTTGATATTTATATTATTTAATTGTTTGTATACTTAGTTTTTATGCATATATATAAATTTAATAAATTTCTTTATSATATAACTAGACCCTGACAGCAGGGTTGACTCGTGCCACTAAAAGTGATGAAAATTGCATATGACTATAATCAACGAAACGAAACATAACGGGAATCTGTATTCAACGAAATGAACCAAGCTTAGCTCCGCTCTAGATATACAATAGTTTTTGAAAAATCTTTAAAAGCGTAGACACATTAAACGTCACGCACGGCCATGCAAACGTGACTCAATCTCACTAACTAGTCAACGACCTTAAGTAACAGCTATCAATCCTCATCGTTCATCCTTACCTTAATGACATAAACCAATGTCCTAAAACATACTCTTGTAACACGTAAAACGAATGTTTTGTAATAACAAAAGAGCGCGAGTCTCAAAGAATTAGATCCATTTCGGCAATTATAGTTACCCCCACAGCTTACTATAATCGACGGGATAACTGATATTACTATTACCATAATAGTGGACTACTGTATTGCAAATCCTCCGTACTGATTGGCTATGCTCAAAAGTCATTGGCTAGTGAAAAGCCCGGGGGGTACTCCCCCCTATATTTGCTTACGGGTATGTGCCGCTCGATAGAGTCCCTTTTTCGGAACTCGAAGTCGATCTGGGATAGGGTATCATTTTTTGCCCATTTGTCTAGGATAGGGTAGTCGTTTTGTCTGGAATTCTTGGGTTTCAWGTGACGTCACAAAAATATTAAATCTCTAATATGCATCCTATTATGATACAAACCATTGAATCCAGATGGTGGTCAGATATTTGACCACCATCTGGATTTCTCCATATATTTTTATCAAATTTTGCGAATCTTCGATTGATAACAATTCCGCAAGCAAACGCTCTACAATCCTAATTTTTGTCAAACTATGTAGTTTTTTTATGCTATAAAAGGGCATGAATGTCATTTTTTAATTCGAGTAAAATATAAATTGTGATGACGTAACTGTAACCCAAGAATAGGTCTAGGATCTTCGTCATCTTTGTCTGGAGTAGGGTGGAGTTTTGCCTGTGATCGTTTCTGCTAGGTCACGCTTTCAGCGCCAAAATAATGTATCTTTGAACCTTTAGTCTTGGGTAGAATATGTAAAAGTTGGTCTGTGATAGGGTAAGGGTTTTGAGGGTCGTTCGGCACACCCCCACCCAAGTTGGGATCGAGTGCAACGCTATAGATATGGACCACTTACGTTCCCTTGGGTAGTTCCCTTATAATGTTATAACACTCTTCCATTGCTCTTGAAAGTTTCAAGAATAACACGTTGTTGTATGTTTTCAAGAAAACCTAAATGCCAGTTAACTGTTTAAGCTTTTAGACAAAAATTTGTACACCCATTTGTACACAAAGCCTTCTAAAGGTACATCAGAGCCATGCATATGGACATCCATATATGGACGTCGTACAACATCCTCTACTCGTAAAAATCGCGGCATTATCCTTCCAGACCCAATAGGATATCATATCGGTCCCAGTCGTAGTTTTCGTTAAATTCGTCAGGGAGTGCCAGTGTCTCTCAGAGATTACYGTGGCCTTTGAGTTTCATCAGCGATTTCAACTAAGGTGGGTCGCAGAATCAGAACAGAGTTCAGCAAAGTAGTCGTTCAGTTCCACTAGTGAACACTCGTCTAGCGTCACCTTATSGAAGCTGTGAAACGTGGTCCACATTTTTCAATAGATCAGTTATCCCTTATTCAGAAATATTCTTGTACAGTTTGCTGTGATGTGAAGTTCCAGTAGTCCGGGTTCAAACATCGCTCTTTTGCCACATCAAATCTGATTGCTTGTATATGTAAACTATCTTTGCCGAGGAGTTTGCAGTTTAAGTCAATTGACAGATTATATTAAGTTGGTCCAACTGAGCAAAATCCTCCAAAGTCAATAKATATAAAGTACGAAATTCTCACAAACATACTCTTTCTTTTGTATAACCTTTTTGATCTAAGATATAATAAATATGTTTATTGTTTGTTCGCATGTCAATCTGAAAGATGTTGTGTTTAAATTCTTTGAAACAGGGTACCTCTACTAAGGCTATCTTTAAATAGTACTGTTACTAGATAATCATTCTTCTATTAGGTATTACCTCATTTTTATATTAGACGTACATTTTTTTGCTCTAATCATCTTCTGTAAAACGATTCCCATCTAACTCGCCATCTTTGATTTTATAATAGAACGTATTCGCATAACCCACTTTTAAAATGCTAATGAGTTTGCTAATATTCTAATGAGATTGGCACAAGAAACAAAAGAGCAAAAACATGCTTGTCGAGTGATTTCAGTAGCGAATATTATTTCAAAACTATTTTGAGCTCAGTTCAATAAATGCAAAATTTCAAAAGGAAACATTTTTATTTAAGCTATACAGCTATCTCAATTTCTCGTAAACTACATGCAAGTAATTAGATTAGACGCGGCAAAAGATCGACGTCTGAAAGAATTGAAGAATTGGTTTTGATTCTAGTATCGACGGGTTATCGAAGTCTGCAATGCTTGTTTTATAATTCTTCCCATGCGCTCAATTTATTTAACACAATTTAAATCAACATTATGAACCGCTTAAAACAAACGATCTGTTGGCATTCACAAAATAAGGAATTTTCAATCTTGTAGCCAATAACTGTTGAAATTGGTTAACTTTAATAATAAAAATGTGTCCGTTTGAAATTGTGTATTTATTGAACTGAGCTCAAAATAGTAATATTTTGAAATCACTTAAGTATGATTTTGCTCTTTTGTTTCTTGTGCCAATCTCATTAGAATATTAGCAAAATCATTAGCATTTAAAAAGTGGCTTATGCGAATACGTTCTAATCTTTCAACAATGTTTAACAAAGATCATTTGTACAACAAAAAATACATCGCACCTCGGCATTTAAATATCTCCCCCACGCTTCGTCACGGTAATCAGTTTTTTTGTTGTTGTTGTTGTTCACTTTTTGCGGCTGTTGTGTAATAGATCAAAGACGTGACCCTAAAGAGATCAAATGATTGGACAGGCAAATCATGAATTATTAATGAGTTTTAGAAATCTCAGCCTCATGTGTACTCGCTTATTGACTTAATGTGAATTGTACATTTGAACTTTTTTTCCTATTGTGTAATGACGTCTCGAAAAAAAGCATTCTATTGATTTTACCCTTTTCTGTGGCGAATTCAGGAATTTACAATGAGGGGCGCCGGTAACTCAAGAAAAATACTAAGATGGATTAGTGAGGTCCGCGTAAAATGTTTTTCAGGTGAATGCTGCATTTTTTGTTTTTAAATTGAGTCTCATTCAAATTTAATTTCTTTTATTTATACCATTGCAGACACAAGCGTAATTTCGGGATATGATAATGTGCTATCGTTATACTCGGTATACTCTTGCCATTCCATTTTTGTAAACAAGTGTCGTATTTTTGTAGGTCTTTTGAAAAGTAACGGTTATTGTGTAAATCATTCGATGAATGGTCGTGAAATACATTATGAATATTGCCTAGTTCGTCCTTCATTTTTCAATTTATAAGTTCTATATCTATATTTTTTAAACCTTAAAAATCCTGCGTCGCGAGCGGCCATTGTTGATAGACATGAAATACTTTTACACCTATCTAGAAGTTTGAGTTTAAAGTGCAGATTAACTCTATTTTTTCCAAAACCTTAGTGAACGTCACATTCGCACCAGGCCCCTGATTTTAAAGAGAGCACATTTTTCCGAACTGGCGAGTGGCGGKAAATTCAAAATAACGTTAAACATCGGGAATTCATCGAATTCAAAATCTTTTTGCGCAAGTTACTGTTTTAATTGGATAGATTATTCTAGAATTTGGAGTTCAAAAATGGAGTTCATTTGCACTTG